TACCCATACTCAGACTCTAAGAAGCCAAAATAAAGCAAACAAGCGCAGACAGTCTGAGGTAAAGAAGCACGGTTTTAAGCACAACGCGCAAAACGCAAGTTTTATGATGACTTATGAGTTTTCTTGATTTTTCTATTTGCCCGATTGCAGGCGACTGTAGCAAAGAGGAAGCAGTGGTGAGCCAGAGTTGAAAACTTGCGCGGCAACCGGGAAAATTAAAAATTTTCTAGCTCTTCCATGATTTATTATGTTTTAAGTGGAAATGCTTTTGGTTTTCTACGTTTTATTAAACATATCATCTTTCGACGGCTCCACTATACACTCACACATACAAAACGTCTAGAATATATAAACGTTGTAGTGTAGAAAAGAGAAATTTTATTTTCCATAAAGGTTTCCTTCAAAGCGACGCGCATTTGCGAAAGATTTTGTTGCATCCTCGAAAATATTCCCGATTTGATGCAGTGCAGATATAGATATTGTCGAGGCGGGCCGGAAAAACGTCAGATTTCTTCCCCTGAAGCGTTCGCTGCGTTGCACTCGGCGCTCGAGAAATCTTGTTACCGAGACCAAAGGCGGAAGGAAGGCTTGCGATGATGCAACGTGTACGTAATGCCCGGATATGGGAAATTGCACGCTCGGGAATCGAATGGAAGCCGCGCGGCGCGATATGAAGATAACAATGATAATAATAACGCTAAACTAGGCGCAATTCAGGCGCGCGCGCAAGAGCATCTTCTTTTCCGACAATCACAATCAATTAGGAGCGTATTTCTGCGCTGCTTCAAATAAAAATCTTTGCAAAATATCGAAATATTACTTGTTTTCATTTCAACAAAGGTACACATAAATTAATCAGTTTTCATTATTTGCATAAATCTGTTGCTCTTTGCTACGGGGTCGTGTGTTCAGTGCCGAGTGCACAGATATGGAAAAATGGAATCAGAGAGAAGCGAATCTGAGACTTCGATTGCAAATATAAAATGTAAATTTGAATTGTCCGGATTGTGACGTGCGCCAAGAGAAGGTATTCTTACATGCATATTGTACATATTGAAGTATTAAATATGTATAACAAGAATAAAAATTTAAAATCTACTCATTTCTGTTTTTCTCAAATTCGCGCCTGATTAGATTTTTACACACGAGTGTATAAAAGTACGTTTTCTAACACTGCGTGCGTAAAACTTTTATTTTGAACACTTAATATATAATATACAATTTGATCAAAGTTGTAAACTAACCTCCAGGCTAAACTAAACTAGTAAATCATGAATAAGCAAACCGACAATTCGTTTTCGCCGTTGTGCGGATGCACGTAAAAAGTTTTCTTCTTCTTGCATGCACGTCATATTCACTCACACAGTAAATTTTAATACGACAACTTTACGACAACTCCTCCACCGCTGCCGACGTCGAAAAAATGTTAAATTCAGCTGAAACTCCCGACGTTTTACTACTGCTCGCGCGCACACCGCGCAATTCCTGACACAATTCCTCTTTGCGCTACAACTAGAGAGCTTACACTATTTTCCGAACATTGAAATTGAAAGAGCAAAGAGCCGAAGGTGTAACTGTAGCAACTGTAGCGCAACTGTAGTTAAAGCTTCTCTCACCGTGTGTTTACATAAAAATCCATCATAACCCCAACTTTATTACAACAACAAGAGCGCTCGGCGTATTATCGACAGCGGGCTTGAATATTAAACGATTTACAATAAAACACAAATGGTGCCATTGTAAGTCATTCAAATGATATTGTGTCGTGTTGTGCGTCGGTTTGATTCAAAGGATAAAATTCGCGCAACAACCAGGACAATGCGAGGCAACGGGGAGAGATCACAATGTTTGTGCATGAGCTATTTTAAAATTGATGCATTCATTACGAACGTACTGGGTATACGGTTGTAGGCCTGCTGCACGTACGGCCAGCATTTAAACTTTTACAACCTTTACAACCGTATATCTACAGGTCTGCAGCATGAGGGTATGGGAAGCAGTTCAGTTCGTGCAAATACAAAGTTAAACAGACGCGGAAAAAATTCTGCAGGTGGTCACTGCAAAAGAGTGGGAGACGACGATTTTAAGGTGTGGTAGTTGTGTATTATTCTATTGTGAAAATGTATAAACTAAATTCCCAATTACGTCCGTCATGCTCAAGCCTGGAGACGTGAATGTCGAAACTGTTGCATGCCCCAAATCCGGCGAACATCCTGTCGGGCATGCGGAGAGCATCTCCAGATCACACACATATACATCTATTGTCTGTATGGGGTGGTATTGTTGCACAACTCATTGTTCTCAAACCTCATTCCACCTTGGGTGGCAAGCAAGTAACTCTACAACTATCTATTTACCAGTATGCACATCAACACTCCACATTCCGAATTAACCGAATATTATATCGACCTGTAGAGGAGATAGTTAGGTCTAGGTCTAACCAAACTTGAACAAATATATAGGTGGAGATATATAACTACATATCCTATATAAACATTAAACGTATAGCGCACATCATTATGTGCAGAGGTCTACATGTCCATCACATCGTATATCTCATCGTTTCTATTGTCCTTGATGTAATAATAACAGAGGATGGCTGGCGGGCGCGCTCCCGTCGGTGCCCACATCGCCCATGCGTCAATACAAGGAGAGACGGGGTAATAACGAGCATATATAACCCATCTACCAAAGGCCCGGGATGTGTGTTATGTGCGCACATCCACTGTCATTATATTATTTATAATAACGGCCTCGTTCTAGCGTAATTACGCGATGTGTGCTTAGCGTAAGTAATGAACCGATATTATACGCAAAGGTTTTATTGCCACTACACCTTTGGAAGCGTCTGGTCGTTCCTTGCTGAATTAATGGTTTAATGGAAGTTAATTAATCGTCGTGGACCTTTTTGCCCCTCGAAACGCGGAAAGATTTTGTTTCGCCTTCATTCGTTTTTATTCTTTTATTGTAGGATTTTCGTTTGTGTGTCATTGATTGATTTGAGGCACATTTGCAACGCACGCATGAATTTTTATCAATATTTTAAAGAATAATTTGATTTAAAATGTAAAAATTTGTACAAAATGATTTTAACAATGTTCAACTAAAACATAAATTATTTGTTTGTGTTTTTACGTGAATGAAACATTTTAAAATCCCAGAAGCGTGCGCCAAATTGCAATTCAATCTGTTTTCGATTTTCACCTCAACAAGAAACAAAACAAACAATTCGCGCCCTTTCAACATACAAAAAACAAATTGTACTCAATTGTAAAATAAGAAAATTCAATTTTAAAAAACACTTCTTGTTATAATGATATAACTTTTAAAGAAACGAATGTTTCAATGATTCAATAAAAGAAATAAACATGAAATAACGTAGGCAGCACACCTTAAAATACGTACGTAAAAACATGAGCATAATTAATGAGCCTTTTCGGCAAGAGGCGGTATTAATAAAAGTAATTGGACCTCTTCTCGCGCTCCGGCTCGCTGCCGCCTCCCAAAAAAGACGAGCAAAACGGAGAGCACATTCATTTTCTCGCCGGCGCACTTCGTTTTCGCAAAGTAAAACGAATGCCAGCCACCAGCTTCACCAGCGCCAGCCGAACGAAAAGCGGAGCTTGGAGTGAACCAGGTATTATTGTTTTCCGACGAAATAAAGCTACTAGTACAAGATATACTTTGGGCATCATGTACAACTTGGTCATTAGCTAAAATTTCAAACAACCACAAGCATCAACTTATTGCTTTGTATGTTTTGCGAGTAAATAAATTTAATTTTTGTTTTTCATAAAAAAAAGTTGTTGCTTTGAGTTTAAGACCCTCTTTGTAAGAAGATGGCAAGCTCAGATACAATACTGTATTCAGAAAAACAGAAGACGTCCGCTTATCCATCTAAGTCAGGAGTACGGGACTTCTAATCTTGCTTCTTCTTAATCAACCAGAGAGAAGATCCTACTGCTCGCGTCTTTAAACTTCTTTGCCACGGCCACGGCGCGTCGCTTTCTCCCTTTTCTTCGCCCACGCTCCGGCTTTAAACTCCGATTCGCGCTGGCGAAAGTTTAAGTTTTAAGTCCGTCCGCAAGCCCGCGAACAAATAGATAACACACAACAAAGCGCTCACCAGCGGCAGCAGCAGCAGGGAAGAAATGGAAAGAAATGGGGAAATAAATAATGTCGTCGTTTATATCTGTACTCCTCGGCCATATATTACAATGCGAGTTGCGTAAGAAGCGACGAATAATGACGAAATTAGGCCTTTTTCTAAACAATCGAATTTAATTAAAACTTGGAAATTAATTGTACGAATGTATGCTCGTCCTGCGCTGCGACTAATTTGATCGCTGTATTTACGCGCCGCTGAGATTTTAATATTCATTCATTTTCTTCGAGACGCCCGATTGTTCGCGTTTTCAATTAGCCCGAAACGCATAAAATTTAATGAATGCCTATTGAGCATTTCTGCCCAACACAAAAAGCAAGACACTGTGATGTGCGTGGACCAGAAATTTGAAAATGAAATTTAATGTATAAATATTTATATTTGTGATTGAAGGTAGAGATGCCATGCGGCGAGTACGCGTGATGCTCATTTCGGTGTAATGGCGTAATTTATGCGTGTCGATATTCGGATGAGATGCACATGATAAATAAACAACTTACCCAATATGCAGTCGTGAGAAAACCTCCAGCAGGCGCAGCGAGGATTACACTGATTACAAAGATTACCAAGTTCAACGCACTGTTTACATTTACTATTTCAGTGTTACTGTTTCTTAAAATTAAAACATGACAAAATGACCGTTGGCGTTGCAGACTTGTGTGCGTTGTGTGCATAAACAAGTGCAAAAACCAAAGAAAAAATCAGTTATACCAACAAAACACAAAACAGCATTGCAGCGCCCTCTGCAGTCACGTTCTCTTCATAAGTAAATACAAATTTCAGTGAATTTGTATCACTACCGCCCCCTATGTTTCTATTAAAACACTATGTAGAAGAAAGTTGTACAAGGCCGAATGTTCAAGTTGTAAGGTTTGAGGCTATGTTAATCAAAATGTTTGCCCAAAGAATATGCTCAAATTTAGTTAAAAATAATTTACAAAAACAATTCTATCATATTGCAAAGCATCCAATAACGATAACACCATGCTTAATAAATAATTGTATTGCCATACAATGTCCGTCAAAGCCTGTGGTTCAGTTTACAACTCCATCAAGATTCTATGCAAAAGGCAAAGACAAAAAGAAAGATAAATGTAAGTGTAATATAGTTTATGCTAGTAAAAAAAATTAAAATATTATTAATTTTACAGCTAAAACTAAAGTTCAGGTCAATGAGCAACAACTAGGTGAAGTCTTAAACATTGATTCTTACAAAACCAGCTTGCAGAAAGCACTTGACACAATGAAAGATGATTTTACAAAGAATTTATCACTCAGATCAACTACAGGTATATTATAAACTTTTATTTCTGCTTAAATGGATTGTAAATTAAACTATTAAAGGGTCCATTGAATCAATTCAGGTCCAGGTTGATGGGAAAGATCATTCACTGCAAGAATTGGCACAGATTGTTAGAAAGAATCCAAAAACTATTGTTGTGAACATGGCAGTCTTCCCACAAGCTATTCCTGCTGTGTTAAAGGCTCTACAAAAGAGTGGGATGAATCTTAATCCACAGCAGGAGGGAACAACTTTATATATACCTGTTCCAAAGTAATTAAACTTTTTAAACTGTTCTTTAAAAATTTGACTAATAAATCTGTTTTGTTGCAGAGTAACCAAAGAGCACAGAGAAAATTTATCTAAGAATGCAAAGGCATTGTTTATCAAGTGCAGGGACGCAATGAAAGACGCACAGAATAAACAATCCAGAAACATTAAGAAAAATGATGGGGTATCTCAGGATTTGGCTAGAAGTCTAGAACAACAAGTTATTCAAATTGCTAATGAGTTTGTCAAAGATGCAGAGAAGATTTTAGAAACTAAACAAGCTGAATTAGTTGGCAAGGAATAAAATAATTTGGTAATAATGCATTTGTAAAAATATATGACTAGTACAAATAGAATAACAGAAAAATCTAGCTGAAAATTATTTGATTTTAATAATGACAAGAAATACAAAACATAAAATGATATAAAATTAAACGCCTGCATGTTCGGAGTGAAGTTAATCGAAAATTGCCAACATAATTGAACAGCTTCAGGAGTACTTCTATTATTTGTAAAAGCAATATTTATTTAATTACCAAGTATAAACCGTTATTATTAACTTTAAACATGCCGTGACTGCCAAAATTCAAATACATTTTAAAACCCTAGCAGCCACGGCATAAAATCAGTGATTTCCTTCCAAAAACCGCCGGTTTCCACATCGAATCTCTCCAAAAACATGCAGAAAATTGATGTTTCATTAGAAAATGAAATTATTCTGTGTCCATCGCCACTGCTGGAGCTGGATCCCTCGGTCCATCGTCCCCCGCAGCATCTCTGGCCGGCGCAGCGCCTTCCTGTTGTGGTGCAGCTACACCGCGTCTCTCCTCACCTTCAATTAATTGCAGATACACTGCAGTTTCATTCTCATCCAATATTTTAAACTCAATTCCTTCCCCAATGTAACCAATGGAGACATTCTTGGTGTTCAAATCAATCTCATTCGGCAATGTATCGCGCAATGCTCTCAAACCGTGTTTGACGAGTTCTTCCAGAGTACAAGCAACAAACTCATCTAAATGCTTCTCTAGATAAGTTCTTGCACTTTGTGAGCGCGCGCCAATTGACATGGCTTTACAATCAAAGTAATTGGCTGATGGACAAGTTTGATAGATATGTGGGCCCAAATCATCGTACCCGGCGACAAGAAGACCTACACCATAAGGACGACGATCGTAACGCTGTGTGCATACCTGCATTTTGTTCCCAAGCGCCGCAATGAGTCGGTTTACAGGCAAAAGAGAATCATGCGAATATTTGTAGTTGAGACATTCGGTACGCATGTAGCGGCTCAACATGCGAGCGTCGGCAGTGAGACCTGAGATAGTGATGCCAATATGATTATCAATAGGGATGATTTTCTTCTGGTGCGCCGATAGTTCACTGGAGGCTCTTTTCAATGCGATGATCACAGCGTGCGTGCGGCTTTTTAACCCAACCGTGGCAGAACCCAGCTTTACGGCTTCCATAGCGTATTCCACTTGGTGCAGACGACCCTGAGGACTCCATACTGTTACGTCGCTGTCGTACTGATTGCGAAACATCTTGGGGTTGTTCTTTTAGTGCAGACAGGTTTAGCCGGTGAAGTTGTTCAACGAAAACTGAACTCGAGCCGTAGAAAACCTACAAAACTGATTGTAATGCTGACAAACGCTGGATGTCAAAGATTTTGACATTATTGAGGTGTACAATTGGTTGCCTACATTAAATCCAAACAGTCAGTGAAATAATCTGATGAGCAGAAATGGATTTAGAATTAAAATCATAAAGAAATTTTAAGAATAAACAAAATGTTTAAAAAATAAAAACTACTAATATTGTATGTTTCAGTATCCGTTTCAAATATATATCTTTGACTGCTAGTAGAAATTATGTAAATCTATTGCGGAAACAAGTTGAAAACCGCAGAAAACTATAAAATTTAAAAAAGAGTGATTTATTAATTAAATAACTTTAGGATACATTAAACAAGTTTAGAACTATTAAAATATATAATAATTATCATTAATTATGTAATAAAAGGGTAAAAAACTAAAATCTAACATAGTAATATCGTAACTCTATTAAATTATGTTACAAAAAGATCAACCTGGCATTTTTACAACTAAAATGTTGCATTTGTTATCCCATCAAACTAAATTAGTTTACATAGCCATGTAATTTTCAAGTTCAAGTTTTTCTCCTTCCTTCCTACACGCGTCACAATTCGCAACTCAAGCCCGCGATTGTAAAAGCATATAAGTCGCAACCAAGACGCGCTTATCGTCAATTCGGTGTTGCAAACTTGCGTGCAGGTAATCGGTACACCAATTCATCAAGTCGCAAATTCAAAATTCGCCGTGACACTGCGACAGTTTACCGATAAACAAAATACCAGCGACTAAACGTTCGCAATCACTGTGAAATATCCTTCTAGGTATTTTCGGCTGCAAAACTATTTGCGTAATCAGCGCATTTTTTCCCGGTGCGGTTAACTAAAACAATCAAACATATTTCGTGCTGATAAAAAAGTGCAGTAGTAGTTGTCCATCAATCACGCAAAGTAGATTAGGTATACTTACAGCGGCAATCAATTTAAATTAGTTTATTGGATAAATAAAGCGTTTAAACGAACAAAGTTTATAAAAGTTGTGATTTTTTTAAGTAAAATGGAAAATATCACGGACTTTAGAGCCGACAGGAGCATGTTTTATCTTGACGAAGGTATTTATGAATCATTTTTAATGTGCCAAGGCATTAAAGGTCTAGTTTGATTAATTTAAAGCCAATTATATCAAAATATAAATTTATTTTGGTATTTTTTGAGTTTTCCACCCAATTGTTTCAAAAATTGTCAAAAAAGTTCAAAATATCGTCTAAATAAGTCTAATGAATATTTTCAGATCCTAGAACCAAAAATTGGTTCCTAATCGATTCACCAGGCACAGTAGCAACACTAATAGCCGTCTATGTCGCGTTTGTTACAAAAGTGGGTCCAGCAATGATGAAAGACCACAAAGAATTTCAGCTGAAAAAATTCATGTTGTTTTACAACGCATTCCAAATCATATATTGTGCTGCCCTCGTTATATTCGTAAGTCTATAATTATATCAATTATATTTTCCATATCCCATCAAGACATTCACAAAATAATGTTTCCTATCGCGCGTTGGCGATTGTGATTAATGCAAATGCCTTTCGATTCCAAATGCCTAATGCCCCCTGATGATTTATGCGATTTGGATTTGTTGTGTTGCTCATCGTTAACGTTTTTTGTCTGTGTTCCAAGTCGTTTGTGCCGTTCATGCAATTCCGGCCAAGCTGTGCGACGCTCTCCTTCGCCGACGAAGACATCATCAACGCGCAGCTCTCGTACGCGTTCTTCCTGTTAAAGATCATCGATTTACTGGATACGGTAAGTTTTGTAGGTCTATATGTAGCCGAGTAAATAACTTTTCACCACCGGCTTTACGTTCACTTCCGTTTGCGTCGATTTACTATACAAATTTAAGCAGTGTTTTTACGCATGGAAAGCATCGGCTTATCATCGTTAATTATTACTAATCTAATCACATAGTTATTAAAATTAGATGTTGAGGTATAGTTGGATATATTAATCTTATTAAACATTCAGATTTAACCTATTTTATGGTTATGTTTACGTTCTGTTATATTTTGCTTCGATTATTGTATTAAAAATTTAAAAAGTAAAACAAAAGTAAAACACAAAAATTATTAATATTATTGATAGAACACTGAAAAAAAATTAAGCTTTTCTTTACTGCAAAAGTTTAAAAACTAAAATATTGAAGTAAAAATTAATTCAACTCAAAACTAAAGAAGATAAAGCAAAACTTTTGCTAATTTTGCTAGAATTGATAAAACCATTAAATAAACTGCACAAACACGTGCAACCTATAATTATTTATATCTTATCATTAAAACATAAACAGGAAATCAGGAACAAAAATTTTTTCACTAATACACAAAAGATTACGTCAATGAGCTTAAAAATAACCATAATTATTCACACTAAATTTAATTCAAATAAACGAATTTTCCTCCAAACAGAGTTTCGCTTAATTAGTTTAAACAAACAAGGAAATGCAATTAACACAACCGTGTGTAGTTCAAGGTTAAATCACACAGCAATTATTTTAATTTAAATTGGCATACCTACTACAAACTAAGTTCGTTATCTCGATAAAGAAGAATTACGTATGTGTTTTCACCGTTAATTAGTGAAATAAGCACCGTGCACGTGGAAAGTATATGCGAATCGATCGAATGTTCAAATATCTACGAATATGTTTGATAACGGTTGTGGTTGTTTTTGAACACACAAACAAGTATGTAGGTGCTGTTCCTAATTGCCGAGTCAACGCATTACTATACAAATTTAAGCAGTGTTTCTTTTTACGCATGGAAAGCATCGGCTTATCATCGTTAATTATTACTAATCTAATCACATAGTTATTAAAATTAGTTGTTGAGGTATAGTTGGATATATTAATCTTATTACACATTCAGATTTAACCTATTTTATGGTTATGTTTACGTTCTGTTATATTTTGCTTCGATTATTGTATTAAAATTTAAAAAAGTAAAACAAAAGTAAAAACACAAAAATTATTAATATTATTGATAGAACACTGAAAAAGGGGTGAAATTAAGCTTTTCTTTACTGCAAAAGTTTAAAAACTAAAATATTGAAGTAAAAATTAATTTAACTCAAAAACTAAAGAAGATAAAGCAAAACTTTTTGCTAATTTTGCTAGAATTGATAAAAACCATTAAATAAACTGCACAAACACGTGCAACCTATAATTATTTATATCTTATCATTAAAACATAAACAGGAAATCAGGAACAACATTTTTTTTCACTAATACACAAAAAGATTACGTCAATGAGCTTAAAAATAACCATAATTATTCACACTAAATTTAATTCAAATAAACGAATTTTCCTCCAAACAGAGTTTCGCTTAATTAGTTTAAACAAACAAGAAAATGCAATTAACACAACCGTGTGTAGTTCAAGGTTAAATCACACAGCAATTATTTTAATTTAAATTGGCATACCTACTACAAACTAAGTTCGTTATCTCGATAAAGAAGAATTACGTATGTGTTTTCACCGTTAATTAGTGAAATAAGCACCGTGCACGTGGAAAGTATATGCGAATCGATCGAATGTTCAAATATCTACGAATATGTTTGATAACGGTTGTGCGGTTGTTTTTTGAACACACAAACAAGTATGTAGGTGCTGTTCCTAATTGCCGAGTCAACGCATCGCACAACAATATTCATTCAGTCACTGCAGTCAACTAGCATGAAACTGCAAACTGCAGACTCATTCATCTGTAGCTCGTGAGTCATTTAACTTTTAACTTTTAACTTTCACGTTCAACGCGTCATAAATTTCATTTATCTAGGTACATACTTGTAACTTGTAACTTAACCTAACTTAATCTTATTTTTGTGTGAACAACACTGAATTTAACCTTAAAATGTCTTTAAAAATGATTAATTTCTCTTTTATTTCTTATTGTAGATTATTTTTGTACTACGAAAGAAATCCAGGCAAATTACCTTCCTCCATGTATTCCATCATGTTTACGTCGTCATCCTTGGCTACGTGCATACGAGATATTTGGCCGGTACGCAGGTGGCGCTACTGAACGTGCTCAATGGCAGCGTGCACGTGGCGATGTACTACTATTACCTGGTTACCTCACTGACCAATCAAGCGCCATGGTGGAAGAAGTACATTACGTCAATGCAACTGTTGCAATTGACTGCGTTATCATCCTGTATGGTGCCGACTATGTTTAATCGCGCATGCTCCTTCCCGAAACTCGCCGTGTTGGGATTCATGTTTCTGCCGAATCTTGTTTTGATCAGCGAGTTTGGGAGCTTTTATAAACGGTCCTATGTTGCACTCACTTCCGGGAAAACAAAAAAAGATGAGTGATTGTATGTACCTGTTGTAAAATATGTTATTTATTTAGTTTAGAAGAAATAAATAAATGGAGGTTTAGGTAGATGTGGTTGGTGTGTCGTAAAGCAGTGTACTTGTAATAGTTAGAAAAATTAGTAAATAATATCAAGACAATTTAAATTATTGTTATTCTGTTTTCAGAAATATGTTCAGTATTTAATTCGGAATATAAATTTGTAAAAATTGTGTTGATATTTGTAATATCGAAAGATATACTGAAATTACTCTGAAATTAATAAATTTAAAAAAATCAATTTAAAATTATTTAATCCACAATTATTTTTGTTGTTAGGTGTAGAACTTAATTAAGAATGTATTTTTGAAGTAATTTTAATTATTGCAACAATTTCAATATAGTTATTAATTAATAACTATCACTAGCAAATCAGTTTGGCTACACTTTTCTAAACTTTCTAGTTTTTCATTTATTACTCGACAGTTAATTATCATATACCTACTACTATTTTTTTTCGAAAACCTATTCAGTAATTAATTTATAATTAAAAAAAAAATTTAATTTGTAATGTAATAAAACAACAAATTATTAAACAATTTATACAAATTTTGTTATTTTTACAAAATTTAACTTTAACTTTTGTTTATATCTTTTTGTAAAACTATTTGGTGATAATATTCCTCACATAATTAAACGTAGAATTTACTTAAAAATAAACTAACAAAAAATTTATTACTATAACTCAATTAGTTTCCAAGTAATAAACAAAATACTAAACAATTCAACTATAATTTTTGCATTACATAAGCATTAACACATTTTATCATTACTGATGAATTAAATATTTTATTCGATATTCATACAAGGAATAACAATAAATAATTATGTATATAACCGCTGAACAACTCCATTTATTGAATTGTTCATGATTGCCACGTGCGTTACATACAAATCAGCCAATCAATCATCAATTAATCATTGTTTCACAACCCAATATATTCAAGTACTTAGTAATACTGGTCGCTAAGATTTAAAAGTTTTATTCATTTTTCGTAAATATACGCGCACGTTTGAATGATGTCATGAAGATGTAGCAGGCAGTGAAAAGTAGGCGTGCTTCCCTTGGAGGCGGCGCATCGCATAGAATGGCGCGAGAGCGGCGGCGGCAATATCGAACGCCCCCGACCGCCGCCAGAGGGCCGCAAAGGGCGAGCGCACATCGCGAACGCCGGCATCACCAACGCATCATGCCGCCCTTATCGGAAACGCGAGCGAGCCGCCGATAACGCACATATTACACAATAATTAATTCAACTTTGTGTGTCCGTTTACGCTGTGTGTACAATATTAAATTTTGTGAGTAAAAATAAGGGATGCAAAAAAATATCATGGGTACGTACACTTTTGATTCTTGTATAAATTTACAAAGCAGCACTTAATTGATTTAAAATTTGATATAATTTATATAATTACATCAAAACAAAAATTTTAAGGGTAGTTAGAGAAGGGTGAACGGGGTGGATGTTTATGACGATGCATAAAATTGTGATTTTAAACTCGATCTGTTCCGCAAGTGCCGTCGGGGCATTAGTAGTGAACCATTTTTGACGAATTTGCATTATGGATTATCACCCTTTAACTAGAACCACCCCACAACCCCACATAATATATACAATTATATGGCGTACACTTGCCACCCCAAAACTTTTAATAAATGCCCGTCGGGGAATTGAAAATCGAAAGTTAAAAGTTTAATGATACGCGTTGGATTATACTAATATTAATGCGTTTAGGAACAGGCTCGAATCACCGCTAATCTGCGGATTGATCAACTGGTCACGTTTGATTGTAGTAAAAGTTTTAATTTTGGGTTGCAGGTGGAGGTTTGTCACCAATATGCGGCATGTGCTGCAGACCCATTCAGGAGCGTTTCCTTCTGCGTGTTTCTGATATTTCTTATCATGAGACTTGCCTGCAGTGTTGTGTTTGTTGCGATCGTTTGTTGCAAACCTGCTTTGTCAAGGATTCGAAACTTTACTGTCGGATAGACTACGAGAGGTAAGTATTTTAAGATTTATATGGTATATATAGGCAACTTTTTGTACATTTTTTGTTAGTACTCGGAAGTTAAACAATTTATACACATAATTTCTTTAAAAATATTCTACGGATTATATTCTGAAGCGTTTTCTGATAAATTTGTGGTTTACAACATAATTGTTATAACATTTTATGTGATTATTGTATCAACACACTTTTGGCATATTTTGATGTATAAATTAATTTGAAACTACTTTCCAAGAAATGGTTCTATATAAACAATAATAGGGCTTCACACGAGACGAAACTGGACGATACTATCAAAGGTATCGTCTCGGTCTCGGTATCGTCTCGCAAAAGCGATACGAGACCGAGACGATACGAGAAAAGTCTCGGTATCGTGTGAGGCTTTAAGTAGAACTCAGTTTTAGATCATTGCAGTTCAAAAGTTTAGTCATTTAATTGCTAATTGCATGTATTGTAAAGTAAATCCAAAATACATACATAGTTTAAAATATTAATTTTTAATTGCATCACTTTTAATTGAAAATATATTTTTTAATGTTTCAAATTTTTAAACGTTAATGTATACTAGGGTACAATAATCGAGTTGATTTGTGTTGAAAGTAAGCGGCGCACGTCTACAATTCCTAACTTACCCAGATGTTTACAATATCTTTGCTTCAAGAAGTACAGAAAAACACAAAAATATGTCTCCGGATGTGTAAACAAAGACAAAATTTTCGTAAAACTTTCAAAAAGTCAAAAAGGTCATGATATTCGGTTACTGACTTGTTATTTTGAATATACAAAAGAAATATTTCACAGATGGTCATATATTGGATTTCATATATTGGACCTTTTCCCATTTTTCTAATAACAACTTCATAAAAAAAAGTAACGAGACCAATAACGAGACCAAAAACGAGACTCGGACTGTGGTATCGGTATCGCCGAGAAATTGATAAAACACGTCTCGTCTCGGTATCGTCTCGCTTTTCCGAGACGAGACCGAGACGATACGAGAAAAGTCTCGGTATCGCGTGAAGCCCTAAACAATAACTATATAATTGAAAAAAAAAATTATTTGGTTCCTAGGTCAACTCAAAAATTGCAACAAAAATTAATATTTTATCTCTTTGCGTTGACGAGTAATTAATTAAAAACTTAACTAAACGTCTAAAGACAACTCAAAACTCCGCCAGAATTAATAATAGATTTATTTTATTAACTATTGACTTTGAGTGATTAAATAATTCTGTTTGCGCGTCCTGCAGGTGCACATTTAGTGTTTTTTGTCGCTTTGTTATCGTACGATGAATGCGGTCTTGTTTGCATTGTCCGTCGCAATAGATAATGGCAATCGAACCCTCGATTGCCCATCCGAGCGTGTCATTTCCGATTTTGATAACCGCATTATTATTAATATTAGCTCCGGGGATGGCTCACCCAACAAGCATATCGTTTGCCCTGTTTAGCATCCTCATTCTGGCCGCGACGAGGGTGGCTATTGAATTTCGTGTTTAATGTTCGATGTCATTGCGCAATCGGTATAGTTCTGCCCAGGGAGGGTTGTCCCTTGCGCCGCTACAGTTTTCACGCGTTTGTTCCATTGTTTCCGCGCCGGCAACAAGAACAAAAGCAGTGGGACACGTGCAAGGACGCTTGGACAAGTGCAAAAACTAGCTGCGCGAATTAATTGCTTCTCGCAACACTCGGAAAGTTGGCGGAAAGTGTGCAGAAAGTTTTGTTTGACGCGTTGTTTGACTTGCCGTCAAGTTGAATGTAAGTGTTTCCGCTTTTCCGGGTTGCTGCGGATTGACAAGCGTATGAATTCAAATTTATTCATTTTATGTCAAACTTTGCGCCAACTTAAACAGCTCACCTTGAAATCTATTAATATTGTGTTGGAGTGTTGTTGCGAATACATGCCACGTGGCCGCACACGCGTTTAAATCAAATTAATCGCATCATGCATCAATGATCATAGAAATACTCAAAGGATGAACTTCAAACGTTTAGCGATTGAAACATCACATTTTAATGCCACGTGTCATATTTTTTGCGCGTTTCGTAAACGGAAAAACAGATACAAATCGTTCGGAGATTGAAATAATAGATAAACACGGCGATAAATTGCCGAAATCGTACGGCAATCGTATATCGATACATCTCAATACGCGGTTTAACGCCTCCTTACACGCGGCTCATATAATCCACCCTTCTGCTGTGCCCCAAAACCGGGCAACCCCCGTGAAGGTATTCGACTTGCGCTTTCCGATATATCCACGCTAGGCGCATTCATAAAACGCTTCTTATGAGAAAGACAGGCCCGGCCACCCTGCGCACGGTCGGGGGCGGTCGTATTTCGGAATATTGTGCACAGCGTTCAGCGGAGAGGGAGGCGTTCGAGCGATTCGGGTTTATGTCGCGCCGCGTTTCAGAGGATATTGCGTCTTTCGCGTCCCCCAATTCCGAAAACGCGTCTCCGAGTGTCGCCGAAAACCAACGCTTGTATTTTAGTTGATTGTACACTTGGATGTTGTTTCTGGTACACTTTGTATAAGCCGAGGCAAACAAAGTGCCGCCAATATGAAGGAAGCATATTGCTCGGGTCGCCGCTTTATTTCCGAAGGGAGGGTGCACGCGCGCGCGCCCCCGCCGGTTACCGCAGCAATATCCCCAGCGCGCACCCTTTCTGCCAATATGTTTCCAGCGTGGCGAAAGGTTTTTCGCAGCAATATTGTGTTTGTGCTCGTTTTGCAGATTGTACATAAAGAAATGCCTCGGCTGTTCGGAGCGCATCACGCCCGAAGAGCTGGTGATGCGCGCCAGCGACAACATCTTCCATCTGCGCTGCTTCGTTTGCGTCGTCTGCGGCATTCGCCTCCAGAAGGGCGATCTGTACGTTATCAAACAAGGACAGCTCTTCTGTCGGATTGACTACGAGAAAGAAGTCGAGATGTTGCAAGGCTACGGGCATGGTATTACATAACCACACTTGAAATCACCAAACAAACATAACCTATAAATGTGTAAACTGTTTTCAATACCCAGGTGATTTTCTATGTGATGATATGATGCAATCATCACGAAGTCACGATGGTCGTCGTGGTCCAAAACGTCCACGGACAATTCTTACCACTCAACAGCGTCGGGCTTTCAAAGCTTCCTTCGAGGTCAGTCCTAAACCATGCCGTAAAGTACGTGAGACCCTCGCGAAGGATACCGGCCTCAGTGTGCGGATCGTCCAGGTATGGTTCCA